ATCGGGAAACAGAGCGTGCTGGTGAAATAAGCTTAGTATATGCCCTTGCAGACTGTTTAGTTAATTCAAATTGATAGGGTAAGTTAAAATACATGCAAGGATGCCTTTAGGGCAATTTCTCAAACAGTTGTTTCTGTTTACTTTCCTACATCTGTTTATGAATGTGCTGCAAAGTATGAGGCATTCTTGAGTTGGCTGGGCTTTCTGTCTAGAGTTAAACAGAGATTAGGCTTGGCTTGAAAACTTGTAGAAGTTTCCCAGCAACACAGATTTTTTTTTGTCTCTAAAAAGTTGGTTTGTCATAGTCAACCTGCAGAAGCTTGGCCTCCCTTATGTTTTGGACTTCATTTCCCAGAATCTGCAGCCAGCCTGGCCCACAATAAGAAATTGTGGGGCTTCTTTAAAACATTTGGAGGACTCAAATCTCCCCAGCCCCTTTAATAGCCCCCTTAAAATCAAGTGTTGTGGGCTGAGAAGTTCTTGGTCCAATATATCTGTGAACTTGTGACATGTCCATTAGTAAATCACTCACTGTTCTTTAGAGGCCCCTTCCCCCCCCCATATTAGTTTATTTCCAGAGTCATGGTGAAGGTTATTCTGATCATGTTTGTGAATGTTTGGACACTCAAAGAAGAGTGTTCGTTTGTGACATGCTGGCAGCCTAAAATGACCCATTCCCAATATTATCATCCTCATCCTCATCCTTCTCCAGACTGTTTGCCTGAATGAGATTCTTATTTCCTAAAGGTGACAAGGTAGTTAACAGATTAAAGGCTGGCCCTGGGTGGGCAGGGAGGCCGTGTCTTCTGGCCAAAGAGACATTTTCCATCATGCAAGATGAAGGAAGCCTTGAAGGGCTAGGGTTTGCCAATGCTTCTTTTAAGGAACTATCAGGTATCTTCGTTTCTTTCCAGTTCTCAGAACATTTGAAAATTCTCTTTCACTGGAGGGTGAGAAAATGTGCTGTTGACCTTGGCTCTTTGTGGTGGGCTATTCAGAAAGAGTCCAGCCATCAAAAAAAAGGGTGGGAAAAAGTATTTGTGAGCTTTCCCGTACACACCTCAGTGCAAGAGCCAGCTGTCCTCCAGGTGCATGTGTTTATGCCTCCTCCAAGCTGTGCTGCAGCTCAGCTCCTTGCGGCAAGTGTTATGATGGTGAATTTTTTTTTAAAGAGCCACTTGGCAAAGAGAAGGGAAGCGGCTGTGTCTCCCAGGCAGCAGCTGTCTCCTGATAACTGAATTGGATGGACTTTGACAAGCAGCTGCAAGTGTCAGTCAGCTTTATCTCATGAACTACCGCTGCCTTTTGTAGCACCCTGTCAGCACTCAAAGCTGTTCAGACACAAAAGGAGAGTCTTGTGTGCATGGAAACAATAAGCAAGTCTGTGAGCAAATGTGCCGGTGTGGGTGCGCACACATGTGTGTATAAAAGTGTCTTTCTGGCCTGATGGCCTCTGTGGGACAAAAGCAACTGTACTGGAATCACAGATGTTGATTCTTTAGGGCTATTTACGTATATCAGGAAGGTATCATCCCATTTCTAGTAGTGATCATCAGTATAGTTGGGAACCTGTGAAAAGTTGAAAACAGTGGGACAGACTGACGGGGCAGCTTTCCTGCATTCTCTTCCCCCCTCCATAAATATTCTCCCTTCCTCTCCCCTCCCCATTTTGTATATGTACATGTATGTATGTATGTTGTGTGCCATCAAATGGAACCTGTCCCCTACACCACACTGGGTAATATAGACATGTAGATTCTTCACATTTACCCACTATATTAAACATAATGATAATCCTGTACTGTCAACTCAGTTCTGACTTATGGTCGTTCTTTCCAGGATATTCTAGGTAGAGTATACTCGGAAAAGCTTTGCCATTCTCTTCTTTTGAAGGGTGCCCTGGAATTGTGCAGCTTGCCCAAGGCTACCCAGTCTGACTCTTCTCCCAAGAGGCACAGTGTGGAATTAATCCCCTAACTCTGGCTCCACACCTGGATACCTAATCTGCATGCATAGCCATATTTACATACAGACAGTGGTAATTATCTTTCCAATGCACAAATCTCTCCCTATAGTTCTTCTGTGCCTTATATTCTTTCTGTTCCCATGACCTTTTCCTATGTCCTCCAGCTACTCTTACCTTTGTGTTTTGTAACCAACAGTAGGTGGGGACAGCTCAGCTCTCTCTTCATAGGCCTCTTTCCAACTTCACTGGACCCAAAAAACTCCTGGACTGGAGGACTAATACTGAACACCAGACATTCTCAAGACGTAGCAATGCCACTTGATCTCCGTAGTTCCAAAGGAAGCATTAAAGGAAAGGATCTAGTTCCTTTTGCCATTTTTAACACTGCAGTAAGCTGCGTACTCAGGCAATCCCATTCCTAAGGAAAATAGTGAAGTGTGTTTTGGTGGATGGACAATATAATCACAGTACTTGACATCAGATAAGTTATGGGAGATAGAATGGGGAAATCTTCCTTTTCTTTGTGTACTGGAAACCCACTTTTGCTTTGGATAGCTCTCATGGGAGATAGAATGGGGAAATCTTCCTTTGTGTACAGGAAACCCACTTTTGCTTTGGATAGCTCTTAGTTCATTCATGCCGTTAGTGTCTGCTTGTGAACAGTGAAGTTTGTTTTTAAAAATGGATCCTCTTAGTCTTCTGTGTGTTACAGATATCTTTCTGTAATGTATATATTCCTGGGTTTGCCTCATAGTTAATCAGATCTTCTAAGATGTAACACGAGTCTGCATTGCTATTTTAAAACTTGCAATATTAACATCTAAAATCTAACTTGTAATGTATCTGTCTCTTCAAGAAATGATTGCTGTTGGAGAAAAAACAGAATCTCACAGATCTTTTATTACTTTTATTCATTCATAATTAGATGTAAACCTCCATTTCATTTTTTCTAAAGCTAAGAGAATTTTGTGGCCACCATTTAGAGACTATATGGTTATTTTCTGCTAATATTTCAGTTCTTATACGGGTGTTTTATAGCCTAGGCAATTATCATTATAATTGGTTATATGGGTTTATGCATAAAATAGATATACAGTAGCAAGCCAAAATGTTATACCTCGTCCAGAAGGAGTGAGGTTCTAAAGGGGGCATAAAAACCCCACCCCACCCTGAAAACCACCTCTCCTGTCTTGGTTTCTGCTGCTTGCCACACCTGTTTGCAGCCATTGACCAAATAATCATCTGCTGTTTCAGTGCTATTTGTAAAATTAATTTTACAGGACTTCTGATGTCCCTTTCATTACCAGTAAGATTATACCCAGTCCAGGATTACAGTACAGGGTGAACATGATGATATCACAGAAAGCCATAGCCAAGCAACCTTCAAGGGCAAAGGGAAAGGTGCTTTGGTTTTAACTCTTGGCCAGGGGAACATGGACCACTGGATCCCTGTGCCTGGCCCCTTTTGAATGTAAATGCTTGTCCTGGCACTCTCAAGACAAATCCCCTTATTCCACTAGTTTTCTCTGCTTCAGTTCCCTTGTTCTTCTTGTCCTTTTTTATGTCTTGTTTTTATGCATGCCTTTGTCTTGTATGCCAGCTAGCATCAACAGTGTGTACTGAGTTTTACTTAATATGGACCACTTAAGAAAAAAAAGTCTGAAAATGCAGGCAGACCCAGTAATCAACAAAATAAATAAAATTTTTGCAGCAGGTTGCTTGAGTTCCTTGGAAGAAAATAAAGAAATATAATATAGGTAAATGTCCTGAATGCCCCAGTTCTCTTTAAAACTGGCAACTTCAGACCGAGGATTTCAGAACACAGCTGATCTTGAAAAATCCTGTAAATCCAGTTCAGCAGTTATCGGTTAGCTCTGTACATAGAATGATGTGGACACTATTCAGGGTTGTCTGACATTAAGAAGTCAGTATGTTGACTTTTTTCTTTAGGCTGGGATATGATAACAAAGTATACACTCCCCCTGTCATCATTGCCTGCAAGTCACCATACACGTAAAATGTGCATTTGGACCAAGGGCACTCATATCTTAAATTATACACTAAAAGTCTGCCTTTCTAACAAGATAGCAAGCTTCTAAAAGGCTGAGTTACAAATGAATACTTCCATTTCTAGAATGATGTATAATCCTGTATACTTACTCAACATAGTCTCTGAATGTTTTCAGGATGGAACTGTAAGAACAAGAAACTTACTTTTACATTAAAAGTAAAGAAAGTTACTGTATGTAATTAAGTGTATACAGTGGATTCTGTACATTCATTAACAAGTAGCATATAGACAGTTCCTGTGGTTAGTTTTAGGTAGGTAGGTACGTAGGTAGGTAGGTAGGTAGGTAGGTAGGTAGGTAGGTAGATGCAGCTTGAAGTGAATACATATATGTATGTATGAATGAATACGTATACATTCCAAACTGCATTCTTCAAGTAAGCATGGATAATATAAAATTACCCCACATATGGTGTACAGATCAAAGCTTTTCTTAGTTTTTCTGGTTTTGCTGCACCCCACGTGCTCCAGCCTCTCCGTTACATTTTCTTAGCCAGTGGTGAACAAGTTTACTGTTTGTCCTCCTGATGGGGGGAGTTGGGAGATCAATATTTCTCCTTCTTAATGCACCTTAATGAAGCAGGAGACAGCTTTTAGGAGGGCCTGCCAATTCCTTGGAGCTTGGAAAGAGGCCAACGCATTGTGCCGTAAATTTGAATGTCACTTACAATTTTATGTAACTTCAACTCATCTGCCATGTGACTTGGTGAATTAGATTCAGCTGTGCTTGTGGTTTAACAGACACTTTTTCAGAAGAAAAAAATTCCATTTGAGATCCTTTTAGTTTTATAGTTTGAGTAGAAACCGCCAGATGATGATTTCTTCTATGTTTCAGTCACCTTCTGACAGAATCTGACTTTGGGTTATGTTTCCTACTTGCATGAAACATGAATAGAAAGTTACATAAGATTGCTACACACTTGAGTAACTATTAAAATTTTTTGTTTTACGTGTTTTTCTTTGTAGGGTGCACGAGTTTGGTTGCGAGAAAATGGCCAACATTATCCAAGTACTGTACTTTCTTGCGCAGAGGGAGTTGTAGTGTTCAGGACGGACTATGGTCAGGTAAACACTTCACTTCTGAATGCTTTTTGTCTCTGTCGCAGTTCCATGTCATGGTGAATATGTGTTTTGTTGCCAACATTTCCATCCAGAAGTCTGGTTTTCAGCAGTAGTTCCCACATTGGCTTTCTGTCAGAGAGCTGCTTGTTCTTTCTGAAAAATAAATAGATAAAATCTACTGTGAACTGAAAGGTATCATGGTAGATCTTGGCCAATCTGTCTCTGCATCATATTTTATTCATCATTTATTGGGAAGATAATTCTTCATCTCTGCATCAGGTGAGACTAGATCATCAGTTCATGGAATGCCTTAACCTGATGCTGCACCAGGAGGGCAGAGTGGGAATTGTGTCAGTGTTTACAGCCCTGCCCCCCCCCCCGATGCAATATTTTCCCTACCAGGGCTGATGGACTTTGTGGGTGACCTGGATTTCAACAAGAAAACCCCCAAGGACACTGCAGAAGCCCCCAAGGACACTGCAGAAACCAATTGGATCTATCAGTCTTCTGGGGCAGACTGTCCTAATAGGTCCATCCACCCCACAGAAGAGCACAGTTGTACAGCCCTGCCCCCCCCCCCGATGCAATATTTTCCCTACCAGGGCTGATGGACTTTGTGGGTGACCTGGATTTCAACAAGAAAACCCCCAAGGACACTGCAGAAGCCCCCAAGGACACTGCAGAAACCAATTGGATCTATCAGTCTTCTGGGGCAGACTGTCCTAATAGGTCCATCCACCCCACAGAAGAGCACAGTTGTACATAGTTCAAATCTCAGCAGGTTATTATTTGACTATGACAAGACGGTACACTCAAGGTTTGCCATCTTCAGATTATCGTCCCTCTGCCTTGAGATTTTTTTAATAGCTTGTCTAGTAGTCAGTCCTATAGTCGGAGATCAGTCCTCAGTGGGGCTTCTGGGTAAATAGGTTTGGGATTACAGTTTCAGCGGTGGTTATACAGTTTTTGTTATGTGCTGTCAAGTCAGAATCAGCTTGTAGCAACCCTAATAGGGCTTTCAGGGTAAGTGAGAGATTGAAGGAGTGGTTTTAACAGTTCCACTCCCCCAGCGACATTGAGTTCCACGATTGAGTCAGAATACCACTCCCCCAGCGACATTGAGTTCCACGACTGAGTCAGAATACAGACCCAGGCTTCCATCACTCTATCCACTTCACTACAGTGGGTATCCCAGTAGTACAATAGACATACTTCAGGGCATTTGTAGGTTTGCTGTAAAGGAGTGGTTTTCTAACAGTAGTGGGTTCCTGGAAACTTCCATTTGCATTGTATGCCAATGATTCTGAACTTTGCTTGGGTGTCTTAGACATTCACTTTCTGATATTTCTGCAGCTAATTCATTAATATGAATAATTATAATTACAATACTGTGTTTGCAGGAGCTTCCTCCCTAGTAAGTAAGCAGACATAGGACTGCAGCCTAAGGTTACCTAACAGATCAACTTACTGATGCATTTAATGTTTCTTATGTGCTGCAACTATCACTTGTGCTTTTTCTTGGAATGCTTGCTAGCTCAGTCCTTTGTGCTGACCAGTTTAGTTTCCACATTCTTGTTGGACAGTGTTCGCTGAATTGCTTTGTAGTGTCTGGTTGAACTATGTCTGCATTGACCGAGAATATTTTTGCAATTCTTCTTTACCTGCTGCTTTGTTTCTGTCCTCGGTCACCTCAGCATTTCAGAAAGTACTCAGAATTACACGTTATGCCTACTAGAGCATGCTGTGGATTTGCTATCATTTCAACATTGTATTTTTATGATAAAATACTTAACAACTGATATTATATGCCACATTTCAAGTACAATCAAGCACAAACTCCAAATCAGTTTGTAAATACAAAGCACAGAAATGAAATAGAATTGGTTATTGAATAGTAATGAAAATATCTAGTCACTATTTGGATATTTAGAAGACATTTTGTGAATATTTGATTCAAAAACCCACAGAGAGATTCCTGATAATTTTGGGGAAAAGATCTAGTTAAAGTTTCATATTGAGATCTTACTTGCTAAACTAAAGGAACATGGCAGGTATTGGACTTTGTCACATCACAGAATAATGGAGTTGTAAGGAGCCTATTCTCTAAGGCCATTGAGGCGATTCCCTGCTCATTGCAGGAATCCAAATCAAAGTTTGTTTGTTTGTGTATTTATTTATTTATTTAAACTTTTATTCCACCACATAAGTGTGAATGCTTTTTGGGTGGTTCACAACCCATCAAGCATAATTACAAATCATATGATACAAAACCACAATATATCTGACAGATGATTGTCTAATTTTCTCTTGAATGCCTCTACTGTTGGAGCACTCACCACGTCTTGAGGTAATTGGTTCTTCTTCGTGGTCTCTGAGAATGCATACTAATCGCTTTAATCTGTGCTTGCACAGAGGTTTCCAGAATATTCTAGAGCTTTATGATACGTTCATCAAGGACCGCCCCCCCAGTACATGTTGCCCGCCCATCCTGGCAATTACCTCAGTTCCTTTTTGCTGCCACTGATGTCTCTCCTCTTGTCAAGCTCTGTTCGTCATTGCTTCTTTAAGCTGAAAAAAATTGGAAAAGATTTTTTGAGTGATTCTTTTCAACTTCTATACAATCAAAGGAAAATTGTAAGAGATTTTTTGATCAATTTTTCTCTGTCACCCCGCCTCCATTTTTCCCTCGCTGCCATTTATGGCCCCTCTTCCCCCATTTAAAAGGTGCACCCCGTGCTCCAACAAAGTTCCCCTCACAGACGGTCACAATCTCTGTCTTTTTTGCCTGGGGGAATCTCACCAGCTTTCTATTTGTCAGTTCTGCAAGACCTTCGCTAAACAAGCCCTTAAACTCAGACAGCAGCGTCTCAGGTCATTCCTCTGGGAACGTTCCTTGCTACCAGCTCAGACTATGGAACTGTCCCAAACATCTTAGCCCCCCAAAAAATCTCCAGGTGCAACTACCACTCCTCCGACAGTTAAGTTGCTTTCTAAGACCAAACCGAAGTCGAAGTCTAAATCTTCCAGTTCAACAAAAATCCACTCCGGTACCGAACCCCCCTTTGGTATCAAAACACTCCAAATAAAAAAAAACAACAACAAAGAATTCCTCCATCGATTTTCGTCAATCCAGACACAGGCCGATACTCCTCTTAAGTGCTCTTGACATCGAGCATATTGGTATTACCAGCCTGAGCTCAACTTCTATACAAACTCTAGGCATTCTTGACGTCGATACTACTACCCATCCAACTTCTCTGATTCTTCGCCTTCCCCTCAGTACGAATCATGGCATCATGGTTACTACTACCGTTCTACGTCGAATGATGATTCCATGTCGCTCCATCCGGGAACGAAGTCTCACAAATCTCACAAGAGGACCCATCCTGAACCTCTCCAAGAGGAACCCATGGTACCAAAACGGTTCCAGACTTCCACTCCAACAGTACCACGCATTGCAGAACCCTCTGCTCCTTCTCAAACTCAGGCTCCCTTGATACAGGTGACCACCACATATGCTGGACCTCCTCCTTTACTTCCTGGTACCACTCAATCTTGCCATAAGAAACATTCAAAACATCAATCTGTTTTCGTACTGGCCCAACACGTTCCTTCTAAACCTCAGCCTGCTCTTCCGGAACCCCCTGCTACTTCCATCCCACGGTACCATCTCACTTCTCCAACTTTGTCTTCACAATCATACTATTCTGATGCCTCTGACTCTTTACCGGTACAAAAATCCCCTCCTAATCTACCTATACCAGACTCTGATGTTGTTCAAGCCAATCCTCCTTCACCATCTGATGACTTTTCCTACTCCCAATTAGTTCTTCGAATTGCAAAAGCTATGGAACTAGACCTGTTCAAACTCAACCAGATAAAGTGTATGAGAACATCAATGAGGAACAGACTCCACCTCTAAGTAAGAGCTTTCTCCTTTCATTACTAAAGCTCACTAAACAAGTCTGGTCTAAGCCCTTCTCTGTTCCTCAAATGTCTTGCAAAGTCGAGAATCTATACAAGGCACATAGAGATGATAGTGCCTTCCTGTCTAAACATCAGCTTCCCAAATTGGTAATTGTTGATGCTACCCAGAACAGAGCATGAAACCTCTCTAAATAGCACACCGAATAACAAAGAAGGAAGAAAACTAGACATCGTTGGGCATATAATCTATTCCCTTGCCTCGTTTACCCTCCGCGCTGCCAATTATCTTGTGACCATGGGAGCTTATCATCATTATCTATGGAATAAAGCTCTCCCTTCACTTAAATCCGCTTCAGGCGAATACAAACCATGTAACCTCGCTTATAAGGAGGCCATGGCCCTTGTAAGTCAGGAACATATTACCGTCAGACATGTTATCGAAGTGTCATCCAGGCATATGGCTACTGCTATAGCCATTCGTAGACATGCCTGGTTATGATCAGATGATATTTCAGATGATGCTCGTATGAGAATTGAAGACTTACCCTTCAATGGTACTGGACTATTCAGTGAAAAAAACTGATGATATACTGGACAACCTGCAGAAATTAAGAAAAACAGCATGATCATACAATACCCAAACATACTACAGACCACAGCGGTATCAGTGGCATCGCCCTTACTCTTACCAACAATCCACATGGTTTACTGACAGGAATAAGTATACTTCACAGCCTGCCCCTTCCTTCCAACCTCAACACAGGGCGCAACGTCAACGACCCAAACAGTTTTTTCATTGCTCAGAAAAGAAACAAAAGCAGAATTTTTGACTTCTCCATCCCCCAGATCCACTTTACTTACCTTTCTCCTTACACCACCACTTGTCTTTCAGCCTGTCTTCCATCTTGGGAATCTACCACCACTGATTCCTGGATCCTCACCATCATCGCTACAGGTTACGCCATATAATTCATTTTCCCATCTCCACCAAGGATCATTCTAACCTCACCGTCCATTGCTCTCAAACAAGAAATTCTATCTTTTCTCCTAAAGGACGCCATATCACCTGTCAGTCT